CCCGAAAGCCCCCCCCCCCCCTTCTAGCGAAGAATAGCCCACGATGCTCGTGAAGAAAAACTCGAACTAGCTCTTTGACTCCTCTTTCAAAGATTGCTCTGTTTCTGCTGCAGCTTTCGTTGTTTGGCGGTTTTCCGCCTTCTCGGGTCCCGAAGCTTCGGAGCTGAGAGCATTCTCACGCGCTTCCTCTGGCTTCGAGGTGCCAGAACCAGAATCTCCACCGCTCGCTTCTGGTGAATTCTTGATGTTTTTACCATCTCCATCATCATCTATCTCCATTTGAATCTCACCGTTCAGCAAAGCTGGAGGAGGAGCTTCAACTGGCTTTGGAGGTTCAACGGAACCCGAGGTTTCTCTCCATTCAACCCAAGCAGGCGATTTATCAGTTTCCGATTCACCCGATTTCTCAGATAAATCATTCACTTCCGTCCCTTCCGGCTTTGGTTCGAATGACGGGGAGGAGGTTGCAGAGTCATCCAAGTCATCGGCTTCACCTATGACCACATCATCATCATCATCAACTTCAGTGGTCCGTTCGGCATTGGGAGAAGGAGATGCAAGCGAGCTCGCCGAGCGCTCGTTAGCCTCTCTCTCGTCCTCAAAAGCAAACCAGTTCGAGTTCGTGAACAGTGAACCGCTACAAACACCATTACACGTCGTGAGCTATAAGCTAAACGACTATGCCAACGGTTGAAAGACTCGATATCGAGAGGAAAATGTAAATTTTATAGCCGAATAAAAAAAAAATTGAACAGTTACCTCTCTTGTTCATCTCCGAGACGCAAAGACGATATCACAACTTCAGCAGATTCATCGTCAAAGTAGACATCCTGCCATGTTAAAAGAGATCTCCATAAGAGAGGCCTTGAAGAATGTAAAACGCTTTAATCTGATGCTAATTCCGAGCAGAAAAAGATGCATTAAAAGACCTCTCCTTCGGTATTCCGAGATTTGTGAGCAAAGTTCATAAAATTACTCCCTACCACAACCTCCATGGCATTTTCCATTTTCGTTTTACAATCAAAACAAAAAGCAGAGCTGACAACAGAAACATAGTACAAGGGTTGCATAGAGCAAATAAGGCGAGGAGATAAACGACGTCAATTTCCAACCTATTATAATAAAATCTTATGACAAGAGAAAATAATAACGAGATCCCACAATTTAAATAACCAAACTTTTATAAAGTCAGATCGAAATTCCGATAGATATGAGATAAGGAAAGAAAGAAATACCTCGTCATCCCGCTCCATAGAGCCTTGGGCCTGCAATGCGTAAAATAGTAAAATTAGTAGGAGGAAGCAGACAAATTTCTTGTAGAGTCCATGAGTTCAAGCCATCAGAAAAAGATTTAAACATAATTGCATCTAGAAATTGTATGTTTAGACTACAACACAGCACAAAAACAATCAATTCCCAAACAATTTCGATTTCAATTTCCTCATTTGTCTTCTATAACTATCACTGTCAAACACATCCCGCAAAAATCATTGGTAAGAACCAATACCTTCTAAAACCAATGTCAAGAAAACACATGAATGTACCTCATCCATATCATCGTTACTATAAATTCCATATCGAAATGCCTGGCTCAAGTTATTAGCCAGAGCTGCCACGTCATAGTCTCTATCATGGTAATCGTCATCATCACTATCTCCAGTACGATCATGCAGTGAAGTTGGTCTCCTGCAAAGAAGATCATAAACTGAGTACAAATTTTATAAGAAAAACAACACATTTGCTTCCTTTCAAGCCATATATATCGTTTAAGAAGAGTTTCCGAAGCAGCTTTTACTCAAATCATCTACTCTGAGATATGCAATCACATTCACATTCAATTTCTCATCAGTTTGTGTGCTATACAACTACATTTTCCTCTTTAGCTTTGATCTCTAGTATACAAAGTCATTGTTTTTAGTCAATCGTAAAAGGTGATGTCATGAGGTCTAATTTTACACGAAGACAGTCGTGGAACCAAAAAAAATAAAGGAAAGGGAAAACGCATACCCGCAGGCCCACGAGTACACATTTTCCAAGGTGTTACGCTTTGACAGGACATCCATCTGCCAGTCCGTCCATTCACTATTTTCCTAGTAAGAACCAATAGCATATATCAATCAAATAAAAGTCATGAACCAGATGATATGTGTTGTTTATTGATGAGTGGTACGATACCACCACAATACAGTTCATATTCAAACAAGCTACATGTAAAATAAAACCCATAAATGAGGTGATGCCCTGTCGAAAACTAGCAAATACGTGATAATTTGAGCTAGTGGAAAGAAAATTAGGCCTTTAAAGGAATACATACTGTCTCACCCAGAACAAACGTGAACATTCATTAGACCATTCATACATAACTGACGAGATCCAACTTTTCATTCCAAAGAGAAAACAATTACTTTTGTGATATGCATGTGTGGATGTATATAGCACACTAAAATAATCAGGTCAAACAAAGATAGCCATGATGCGGGGAAGAACCTGCAAGTGTGATTGAATTTCAGTATTGGTATTAGCCAGCTGAGAGAGTTTGTTGGAGATACGAGTCAAATGACCAATACTTCCTATCCTGGGTGGCTTTCTACCCTCGGCAGGGACTGTTGGCTGAAGCGAACATGCCACATGCAAAAAGATTATATTGACTAAAGGGTTCCATAAAAAAAACAGAGAACCAAGTAAATGCATAATAGGGTCCAGATGTAGAAATTAGCAAGTTAATATGTAAGTGGGAACCTTATCCGAATCAGCTGCCAATGTGGAATCCTTTTCTGCTTCTAGTATTTTTCCAACGAGACCACATTCACAAAGAAGATGATCGAGAAGTTCAGTATTCTTGCTCTCCAAGCATGATAGAATTACATTCTTGACGTGGTGGTGCAAAAAATTATTGTAAGGATACCTGAAAAATAGTCATATCAAGCAATAAGCATGGGTAATGCAAAATAATTGCTGCATAGAAGAAATTCCCAACTTACTCGAAGAACAAGTCCAGGATTCTCTTCACAGCCCCAAGTCGAATCACTTCCTTTTCTGCTGATGCACTACTGACTGTGAGTAAGACTGAGATGAACTCAACAATCTGGGGAAAGAAAAAGAATAAAAAAAAGGCATGTAAACCAAGGATATAGAAACAGTAACACGACGGATAGATATATTAAACATCTACAGGGAAACACGTTACGCTTTCAGTATATATAGAGAACATACCTTCAGCCGGTGTTTTCCTAGAGGTGGTTGCAACTTTCCATATGTAGTTAACAAAACGCCCTCATTAGATGAAACATTCAAAAGCTTAAGCAAATCACCTGCATATAAGTAGAATTTTCACAGAATTTTTAAAGCAGCCAAGAAGAAAAACTCATTGCAACTTACAAAGCACACCATAAAGCACGAGATAAAAACAATGTAAAGAAGACTAAATAAAAACCGTTTAGGGGATATGCCCATAACTAGATTTTACTAAATAGATTAAGAAGCCATAATGATAACTTTGCAACTCAAAGGAAGGATTGCGACTGATAAAGAGAGATCTGATCATGGAACCAGGATTCAACTGAGAGGGAGACAGAGAGAAACGATGTACCACAATTAGGATAAGGGGTATTAACAATATCCGGACAGATAATTTTCAATGGCTTTTGTTATAGCTCGTGTTTAAGCCCTTGTGATGCTTAGAATTAAAGGTCTTAAACCAAAGAGGCTCACCTAGGCTCCCTAACATTCCGTCCACAGCCTCAGGGTTGGTGACCACGGTTCCATGGGTTAGTTGACGACCATATATATGATAAGCTCCCAATGTAAACCTCTTAGGATCTAACAATGCTATGCACACAGACAATGAATTGACCAGAACAGATTTAGGCCGCGTAACTTCCAATGCATGTTGAAACAACCTCCCAATGAAGCTGCAACAAAATGTGCCACGAATCATTAACGAGACAAAAGAAAAATAGAAACATTCACAAATAACGTATGTTAGGAAAATAGTAACCGGAAACGGAAAAATTGGGCTACCTTGGGCTTGAAATTTTTGCACCAAGGCCAGGGGGTGCAAATCGTATTGCTGTACATAGAATTTCAGCTGCATTGGCATGTACCTCAGGAGACTCCTACGCCACATATAATAAAAGTTTGTAGATATCAGTGAAGGATTGGAATAATAGGATGATATAAAATCACAGGAGAAAAGTCATAAGACTAGCCTATTTTAAAAGTAAAGTAAAATATGCTACTGAATGAAACTCACTGAGGAACCAAACTTGTCCACAATCATCTCTAAAACATCTGTATCTTCTACCCACTGCATTGCGCTTGTGTAGTTTGTATACAAGTGCTCATCTGAGCCAATCAGACGTTTTAAAACCTGAAGAATAGGCAATAGGTAAACATAGATGAGAAGCACTTTATGGAATATCTAATATTTCTTACATACATACATGCAGGAAATTCTAAAAAAATTTAAATCTTCATTGTTCACAGATTATGTTAATTAGAACAATTAACAATCTCCTTAACAAGATCATCACTGACACCACCGACAACGACGAAACTGTTATTATAACTACTAAGCGAATTATTGTATTTGTTATTATCATTAACAGTCACAAGCATTTTAGATGACAACAACATTGATGCAGGGGGGAGGGCCAATGATAGGATCCGCCCTCATCAGACAAGTTTGAAAGTAGATATGGGTGAATGAAGACATCCAAGTTAAAAAAAACCTTAAAAATGTAAACCAACCTCCATAATTGATGTAATACCAATCAGATCAACAAGCTGCTTAAGTATTTCTTGATGCTCCTGGTAGGAAAAGGTAAAAGTAAGGTTAAAAATCATGGCAAGACCTGTAACTCCCAAATCCCAGATGGTATCATGTGTTTCAAGCATCATCGAATGCCAGTTATCACATTTTGAATGAGGCAGTTGCATCTGATGCCACTGAATTAAGAACGTATACACACTATTTCATTGTGTAAATCAATGTGAATGTCCAGTTAATTTTTATTCTCTTCGAATAGCAATACCTAGATCCTTGAATAAAATGCTCGGAAAAATCCCAAATTCACAAGAGCGCTGCTAGCTAGAAGTTCAATTCTTATAACCAGGATGCTCTAATGACCCTGATCATAATCTATATTCTCTTATAAGGGTAAACAAAAGAATACTAATCACCTTCAAGTGAAGTTCTAATATTCATAATATTACAAGCATAATTCAGGAAACAAAAATGGACTTACTTTAACGAATTGCATGAATGGAACAGTCTTCCGAACCAGCAAACAATTGACGACCTAGCAGCAAAAGATAAACAAACTGAATATGATGGGGAAACCTGCAGAACTCGATAAAACAAGAGATGATCATCGATACATGATTTGATCCCCAAAAGAATGCCAAGTTCCCAATACCTTGCTGAAGTACCCAGCAAGTAATGCGTTATGAGCTTGTTTAGGTTCCAGAAAGGAAAACAGCAATTTCATCAACTGCAACACAATAGATATAAGGGGAAAGTTAGTAGCATAACTCTTTTCAACATTAGACAAGTAGAAACACATGAAAAATTAGTTGTCAATTTTTACCTCCTCATCCTCCACTAGCGGTTTGAGTATCATTTCAATTTCACAAGTGAAGATTTCACAGGCAATGAAAGGAAACCTACAGTAGAGTTAGAAGACATCAATTACAAGTTCATTTGAAGATTGACAAACAGCAAAGCAACAACATTTGTCTGAAAACCCACTTGAACATTTGTTTCTTCTCTGCATTCTCAGGAGGCTCCTCTATTATGTATTTAATAAGCTGTTCCACCTGTGTCCTTTCCCGCAAGCTGCGATAATGATCAAGTGAGGCAGTATCCCCAGTGAAAAGTAATAGCATCTAGACAGGGAACATAAAAAGCCATCCAACATTTTTGCACAATATGGCACCAGGTTTCTCACGACAAAAAAAAAAAGCATGTCAAATCAAATGAGATAAAAAAAAAATATAGGCGTGAGAGAGAGAGCACAGAACAGGAGCACGTATTATGAGATGTACACATAAGTAATAACATATGAATATGGATAAAGAAGCATACAAATTTAAGAGTCTCCCATTCAGGGCTTTGCACTCTTGAATAATTTCATCCTCATCAAGGAGTTCCTCCAGTGTGAAACCTTCTTTGTCCAAAATTGTCTCCACCTGCAAAACAAAAAGCATCAAAACTTCAGAATCGTACAAAAACGAAATTACTGATCCTACAGTGAATACAAAGCAACACCTAAGAAAACAGTAATACTCGTCAGGGATAAAGTGTATTAGTCTATCAGATATTCCATGAGACATCCTTCCAATACAACAGAAATAAGATAGAATTGGTGGGTATTTCAGCACCTCTTGATGCCCGATAAAATTACCAAATTCAACTAGAAAATGCAATGAAAATGTTGGGGAAAGTCTGTCATCTTTAAGATACGCTCTCATTACATCGAAAAACATCATGTTCGCTCAATGTCTCAACTATTATGCAATGGTTCTGCCAAAGATTTAGCCCTTAAACGACCAGAGCTCAGATCCCATAGACACTGCATCACTTGTGAAAGTAAACAAAGTTGAGCTTCCTCTAATCTGGGAACAAAACTGCAGACTCCAAAAGCCATAATAATTTCACACCCCTCAAATCCTTCGAAGAAACAAATGGGAAATAAAAAATTGAACGGGAATCATAAAGCAAACTCACAAATCCGGAAATGCTCAAAATGAAAAATTCGAAAACACGAACACGTATCTCCGTGGAGTGCCCTCTCTCACAGATATCAGCAACACACGTAAGAAGATCGTAAAACAAAGCTCAGCGACGAGATTAACTCACGGGAGACGCCGTGGACAACCCCGCCATTCGCCAGAACATCTTGCCACGAGCTCAAAAGCGCCGAATTGCCCTCCTCCAGAGATTCGGATCTCTGAGAAACCCTAGCAGGAGGAACAAGAAAACATTCGAGAACCAAGAGCCGACGATTCGAGAGGAGAAGATGTAGCCAAACCCTAGAATTCGTGATCGTGTTCACCGGAGAATTTTCACAAAAAATCGATCTGAGATCGAAGAGACGATGAAGAGCACCTTCAATCGCGGAAGGGAAGTGCTTGGAGATGGAACGACAGAAAACCAAAATTAAGAAAATAAAAATATCAGAAATGCTTTTTTGTTATTTCTTATTTATATTTATATTATATATTCATATTGAGAAATAGTAGTGGTAGGTGTTAAAAATGGGATGCGCGTCCATTTTAACACAACAGAAAGATATAATTTATTGAACATCCAAAAAAAATGGTCAACAACAAGAATTATGGAGAAAACATTTAATTGCATGTGTGTGTATTATTATATAAGTGGTAGGTGTTAAAAATGGGATGCGCGTCCAGTTTAACACAACAGAAAGATATAATTTAGTGAACATCCAAAAAAAATGGTCAACAACAAGAAAAATTAGAACAAAAAAGAATAATCCGCACAATCGTACACAGGTCGGGTCCTCAACTAATACATATATACTAGTATATATATATAATAATACACACACATGCAATTAAATGAATAGAATTTGTTAATATCAATGTAGTTAAAAAATACTTTTAGATTATTTGTTTAATGTATAAAATAATCATTATATTGTTTATATACAGAAATAAAGATATAAATTTATGAAAAAAAATATAAATTTAGTTTACGCGTTGTATAGGTTTGAAGTCAGTAATTTATTCTAAACATCTTTAATCCTAATCTTTATTTTTTTTATATCTATTAAAAATTTAGTATAATAATAATATTATAGATATGATATTGTTAACACGATACTTTTGGATGATGTTAATTGTATACGATGATGTGTTTAGTGATGGAATATTTGATTCATAAAAAAATATTAGTTAATTTAATATAATGATTATATCATTTTATATATAAATCTATTAAATAATATAAGGATTTATATATATTATAATATTTACTAACAACAATATAACAATTCTTCTCACATTCACCATGTCCATTTGTTAACGAATCTCTATTACAACTTTATTGTTGTTTTTCTAAATCAAAATTTTGTATTAGAAATTAAGTAAAATATTAATTTTTAAAAAAATTATATAGATTGTAACTTATTAAAACGTTGTAAACTTATTTTTTTAAAATATTTTAAAAAAATCTAAATTGACGATACGACTCGTAAATTTAATCATTCTATTGTAACCAAAACTTCAATAATATCATTATTTAATGTTAATTTTGTATTATATATATATATATTATTTTCTAGATTTATTTCTTAAATTATTTTAACAAAATAAAAATCAGTACGGTCTAGATTGAATTGTTTTCTTCATTATTAAAGTTGTTTCATAAAATAATTTAAAATAAATAAATATCACATGCGAATGGAGTAATATTTGGAGAAAACTGGCATCTTGATCTCTATTGAAATTAGTATTATGTTTTTGAAATCTATATGTGATGAAAAATAATGTAACGACTCCTTTATAAAAATTTGATAAAATTTGATAATCTTTTACTGAGAAAAAATTATAGAATTTATATCTCAAATTTTATTAAAATAAAATTATTCTTAATTTATCATTTTTTTAAAAAAAAGATAAGGTAATATTGATATGATAAAAATGTTAGATAACAATTATATTTTTTTCAAAGAAATAATAATCATTTTGAACAAATTTTATAATAAATTTTGAATGACTTTATTTATACTAAAAAATCATACACTTTATATTTATTAAAGAATCTTAATAATTGTATATCCATAGAATATTAATATTCTCGTATTATTTCACTAAAACTAATAATCATTTCGTATAAGACCATGTTCCTGACGAAAGTTGGAAGAGAAACCAAGTGAGGCTTATTTGCAATTTTTCAGAAAGTGATGTTCCGTTCTTTTTTTTTGGGTAATCGGGTGTTCTGATCCAAGTGTCAGACTAATCATGGGCTCTTCGTACTTTATTTATAGATCAAATAATTTTACCGAATTGAACGAGATATCCTTGAAAAAACACAAGCTTACAATTGTCAAAAGTCTTTAGCAAAAGCAGGGTGGACACGGATCAGATATCCCCAATTTTTAGAAAACTCTGTCTCGTCTTCATCACCACGGGTTTTACAAAATATTATCTCAATCTTAACTTCATAAAATCCAGGTACTTATAACTCGGGTTTAATGAGATTCTCGATCTTGTACTCGCAGATACTCGGATCCATAAAACTTATAAAATTTTGAACTATAAAGTGATAGAGATAGATAGTACAAATGGAAGATATCAAAGTATAAAAAGAAAAGTTCACCATGAAGAGAGATGAATGAGAGTTTGAGAGAGAGACGAATAGTTGATTCGGTTGCATAGAAGAATGAAAGAAAAAAAAAAGATAAAATAAGATTTAGAATGGTAGAATTTTAGATAAAAATGTTTAGAAGATAAAAATAAATTAACTAAATAAAAGTAATTTAATAAATAATAAGAATAATTTAGATAAATATTATAAATATAAGATATTTTAGTTTTTTAACAAATATACCGGATATTCCTTGTAAAATAATTGAAACTCGAACTCGGACTGAGGGTCAAAAATTTAGACTCATTAATACTCGATCTCATTATCGTTAATATTCGGATACCTTTTATTCGGGTACTTGTTATATCGGGTACCTTCTAACCCGCGTGTTACGGGTTAAAACGCCCACCCTAAGCAAAATTACTTCGAAACACGTGTTAAATCCTCCATGTCACATAATAATCCTACATCAACCAATGTAATCTATAGAATATGTATATGTGTTTTACCAGCATAAAACCGCCAAATAATAAAGATAAGACATCAACACATGTTCCTTCTTTCATAAGAGAAAACATAACGTAAACAAATGAATCCAAATTAATACTCACAATCTTGTTAATGGTACATCTTCCTTCCAGAAACCCTGGTCGAAGCAGTTGAGAATGTAAGATACGTTATAAGGAAACAAAGTAGTTTTACAAACCTATGTCATATAGTAATAATCCTACGTCAATAAAATGTAATCTGTAGAACATTAGAGTGTTATACGATTGTGTTTTCTTAGGGTAAACCTCAAGATAATAAAAAAATAAGATATCAACACACATACATTCTTCCATAAGAAAGGTAATATAACATCAACAAAGTAGCATTTCACTATCTTATTTACCTCTCTCTTCATGGAAAGCTGTCATTATTGCAATTCAACCTTACATCACACCATAAAAACGTTTTTAAACAAAAGCATAAGCTATTGCACAACTCTGAAATCAATGCTATGGTACAGTCCAAGAACTTACCTTTGTCAGCGGAAGATTAAACGACAGATGTATGCAACTAAACCAAGAGCTCCCTGACATGAAACAGAAAGCTTAAAACTGGGACATTGATCATATACGGAACAAAGTATAAAAGACATATGTATGCTAGTAAACCTATTACACAATTCTGAAACCAATTCTATGGGTTGATCCAAGAATTTACCTTTGTGAGTCGAAAACTTAAAACTGAGACATTGATCATAAAAAGAAGGAATTGCCATACAGAGCTAAAGGATATATTACCAAACCTGACAAAGGCGCAAAGCAATTGTGACACTGATACAAAAATATAGGAATTACAGAAACCAATCATTAAGATTTTATCCAGTTCAGACTTAATGAGTTCATTCAACTCTAGAGAGTCTTGTATTGCTGCAATTCCTAACAAACCCTCTATATTTGTATAACATCCGAGAATACAACAGGCCTTTGCATTACGATTCGGGGCAGGTCTTTCCATGGTCTGTTAAGCCATTATTCCCAACAGATCAAACCCTATATTTTCATTTCATTTGAGAATACATATTTTTGCATTTCGAGACGTAACAGATAGCATTCTCATTCCAATTCCAGGATCTGTTTAGCCATTATTCCAAACAAAACAAACCCTCTATTTGCATCTCATTTGAGAATTCAAATTTTTACGATATGTTTCGGGACAAGTAATACAACATTCCCATTTCAAGGTGAGTTTTGACGTTATTCCCAATGTAACATACCCCTCTATTTGCATCTCATTTGAGAATGCAGATTTTTACATTGTCTCGGGACATGTAACATATAGTGTTCCATTATAGGATTTATTTAACCATTATATACTAGTATATATGTATTAGTTGAGGACCCGACCTGTGTACGATTGTGCGGATTATTCTTTTTTGTTCTAATTTTTATAATAGAATTTGTTAATATCAATGTAGTTAAAAAATACTTTTAGATTATTTGTTTAATGTATAAAATAATCATTATATTGTTTATATACAGAAATAAAGATATAAATTTATGAAAAAAAATATAAATTTAGTTTACGCGTTGTATAGGTTTGAAGTCAGTAATTTATTCTAAACATCTTTAATCCTAATCTTTATTTTTTTTATATCTATTAAAAATTTAGTATAATAATAATATTATAGATATGATATTGTTAACACGATACTTTTGGATGATGTTAATTGTATACGATGATGTGTTTAGTGATGGAATATTTGATTCATAAAAAAATATTAGTTAATTTAATATAATGATTATATCATTTTATATATAAATCTATTAAATAATATAAGGATTTATATATATTATAATATTTACTAACAACAATATAACAATTCTTCTCACATTCACCATGTCCATTTGTTAACGAATCTCTATTACAACTTTATTGTTGTTTTTCTAAATCAAAATTTTGTATTAGAAATTAAGTAAAATATTAATTTTTAAAAAAATTATATAGATTGTAACTTATTAAAACGTTGTAAACTTATTTTTTTTAATATTTTAAAAAAATCTAAATTGACGATACGACTCGTAAATTTAATCATTCTATTTTAACCAAAACTTCAATAATATCATTATTTAATGTTAATTTTGTATTATATATATTATTTTCTAGATTTATTTCTTAAATTATTTTAACAAAATAAAAATCAGTACGGTCTAGATTGAATTGTTTTCTTCATTATTAAAGTTGTTTCATAAAATAATTTAAAATAAATAAATATCACATGCGAATGGAGTAATATTTGGAGAAAACTGGCATCTTGATCTCTATTGAGATTAGTATTATGTTTTTGAAATCTATATGTGATGAAAAATAATGTAACGACTCCTTTATAAAAATTTGATAAAATTTGATAATCTTTTACTGAGAAAAAATTATAGAATTTATATCTCAAATTTTATTAAAATAAAATTATTCTTAATTTATCATTTTTTTAAAAAAAAGATAAGGTAATATTGATATGATAAAAATGTTAGATAACAATTATATTTTTTTCAAAGAAATAATAATCATTTTGAACAAATTTTATAATAAATTTTGAATGACTTTATTTATACTAAAAAATCATACACTTTATATTTATTAAAGAATCTTAATAATTGTATATCCATAGAATATTAATATTCTCGTATTATTTCACTAAAACTAATAATCATTTCGTATAAGACCATGTTCCTGACGAAAGTTGGAAGAGAAACCAAGTGAGGCTTATTTGCAATTTTTCAGAAAGTGATGTTCCGTTCTTTTTTTTTGGGTAATCGGGTGTTCTGATCCAAGTGTCAGACTAATCATGGGCTCTTCGTACTTTATTTATAGATCAAATAATTTTACCGAATTGAACGAGATATCCTTGAAAAAACACAAGCTTACAATTGTCAAAAGTCTTTAGCAAAAGCAGGGTGGACACGGATCAGATATCCCCAATTTTTAGAAAACTCTGTCTCGTCTTCATCACCACGGGTTTTACAAAATATTATCTCAATCTTAACTTCATAAAATCCAGGTACTTATAACTCGGGTTTAATGAGATTCTCGATCTTGTACTCGCAGATACTCGGATCCATAAAACCACCATGAAGAGAGATGAATGAGAGTTTGAGAGAGAGACGAATAGTTGATTCGGTTGCATAAAAGAATGAAAGAAAAAAAAGATAAAATAAGATTTAGAATGGTAGAATTTTAGATAAAAATGTTTAGAAGATAAAAATAAATTAACTAAATAAAAGTAATTTAATAAATAATAAGAATAATTTAGATAAATATTATAAATATAAGATATTTTAGTTTTTTAACAAATATACCGGATATTCCTTGTAAAATAATTGAAACTCGAACTCGGACTGAGGGTCAAAAATTTAGACTCATTAATACTCGATCTCATTATCGTTAATATTCGGATACCTTTTATTCGGGTACTTGTTATATCGGGTACCTTCTAACCCGCGTGTTACGGGTTAAAACGCCCACCCTAAGCAAAATTACTTCGAAACACGTGTTAAATCCTCCATGTCACATAATAATCCTACATCAACCAATGTAATCTATAGAATATGTATATGTGTTTTACCAGCATAAAACCGCCAAATAATAAAGATAAGACATCAACACATGTTCCTTCTTTCATAAGAGAAAACATAACGTAAACAAATGAATCCAAATTAATACTCACAATCTTGTTAATGGTACATCTTCCTTCCAGAAACCCTGGTCGAAGCAGTTGAGAATGTAAGATACGTTATAAGGAAACAAAGTAGTTTTACAAACCTATGTCATATAGTAATAATCCTACGTCAATAAAATGTAATCTGTAGAACATTAGAGTGTTATACGATTGTGTTTTCTTAGGGTAAACCTCAAGATAATAAAAAAATAAGATATCAACACACATACATTCTTCCATAAGAAAGGTAATATAACATCAACAAAGTAGCATTTCACTATCTTATTTACCTCTCTCTTCATGGAAAGCTGTCATTATTGCAATTCAACCTTACATCACACCATAAAAACGTTTTTAAACAAAAGCATAAGCTATTGCACAACTCTGAAATCAATGCTATGGTACAGTCCAAGAACTTACCTTTGTCAGCGGAAGATTAAACGACAGATGTATGCAACTAAACCAAGAGCTCCCTGACATGAAACAGAAAGCTTAAAACTGGGACATTGATCATATACGGAACAAAGTATAAAAGACATATGTATGCTAGTAAACCTATTACACAATTCTGAAACCAATTCTATGGGTTGATCCAAGAATTTACCTTTGTGAGTCGAAAACTTAAAACTGAGACATTGATCATAAAAAGAAGGAATTGCCATACAGAGCTAAAGGATATATTACCAAACCTGACAAAGGCGCAAAGCAATTGTGACACTGATACAAAAATATAGGAATTACAGAAACCAATCATTAAGATTTTATCCAGTTCAGACTTAATGAGTTCATTCAACTCTAGAGAGTCTTGTATTGCTGCAATTCCTAACAAACCCTCTATATTTGTATAACATCCGAGAATACAACAGGCCTTTGCATTACGATTCGGGGCAGGTCTTTCCATGGTCTGTTAAGCCATTATTCCCAACAGATCAAACCCTATATTTTCATTTCATTTGAGAATACATATTTTTGCATTTCGAGACGTAACAGATAACATTCTCATTCCAATTCCAGGATCTGTTTAGCCATTATTCCAAACAAAACAAACCCTCTATTTGCATCTCATTTGAGAATTCAAATTTTTACGATATGTTTCGGGACAAGTAATACAACATTCCCATTTCAAGGTGAGTTTTGACGTTATTCCCAATGTAACATACCCCTCTATTTGCATCTCATTTGAGAATGCAGATTTTTACATTGTCTCGGGACATGTAACATATAGTGTTCCATTATAGGATTTATTTAACCATTATCCCAACAGAACAAACTCTATATTTGTATCTTATTTCAGAAAGCAGATTTTTGCATTATGTTTCAAAACATAACAGACCATTCTAATTCTAGGTCTGTTTTCCCATTATTCCAGACAGAACAGACCATATATTTCTACCTTATTTGAGATGCGGGGTTTTGGATTATGTTTCGGGACAAGTAACCAATAGCTTACCATTCCAGGGTCTTGTTCCCAACAGAACAAACCTTCTATTTGTATCTCATTTGAGAATAAAGATTTTTGCTTTCCGTTCCGGGCCATTATAGAGTTTGTTTAGCCATTTTTTTCCCAACAGAACAAACAAACCCTATATTTGCATCTCTTTTAAGAATGCAGATTTTGGGAATAAGTTTCGGGACAAGTAACACATAGTTTTCCATTCAAGGGTCTGTTTTGACGTTATTCCCATTTTCCAACATAACAGACCCTCTATTTGCATCTCATTTGAGAATGCAGATTTTTTTCATTTTGTTTCGGGTCATGTAACAGATAGCGTTCCCATTCTGGAGCCTTTTTACCCATTATTTTCAACATAATAGACCTATATTTGAATCTCATTTGAGAATGCAGATTTTTACATTTGGTGTAACGAGATATAACAGATAGCGTTCCCATTTCAGCATCTGTTTAACCATCACTACAAAAAAACACGAAAATGGTGACGCAAATTTCGTCACCAAATGGTGACGCAAATTTCGAAAAAAAGCGTCACCAATAGCACCGTCACCATTTGCAATTTCGTCACCAAGCGTCACCAATTGGTGACGCTGGGGTGACGCATACATTTCGTCACCATTTGGTGACGCAACGGTGACGAAATTGCGTTCCCATTTCAGCATTTGTTTAACAATTATTTCCAACATAATAGACAAATATTTGTATCCCATTTTTTACATTTTGTTCTGGGTCATGTAACAGATAGCGTTCCCAACATATAAGACCCTATATTTGTATTTTATTTCAGAATGCAGATTTTTTACATTACATTTTGGGTCATGTAAACAGATAGCGTTCCCATTCCACATCAGTTTGCCCATTATTTCCAGCAGAACAGACCCTTTGCATTTATCTCATTTGAGAATGCAGATTTTTGCATTACGTTTCGGAATATATGTAACAGATAGCGTTCCCATTCAAGAGTTTGTTTAGCCATTTTTTCCAACAGAACAAACCCTCTGTTTGCATCTCTTTTGACAATGCAGATTTTTGCATTCCGTTTCGGGACAGTTACCAGATAGCGTTCCTATTATAGAGTTTATTTAGCCATTTTTCCAACAGAACAAACCCTCTATCTGCACCTCTTTTGAGAATGCAGATTTTGGAAATAAGTTTCGGGACAAGTAACACATAGTTTCCCATTCAAGGGTCTGTTTTGACGTTATTCCCATTTTCTAACATAACAGACCCTCTATTTGCATCTCATTTGAGAAAGCATATTTTTTACATTATGTTTCGGGTCACGTAACAGATAGTGTTCCCATTCCGGAACCTTTTTAGCCATTATTCCCAAAATAATAGACCTATATTTGCATCTCATTTAAGAATGCAGATTTTTACATTTGGTGTCACGAGATATAACAGATAGCGTTCCCATTTCAGCATCTGTTTAACCATTATTTCCAACAGAATAGACAAATATTTGCATCCCATTTTTTACATTTTGTTCTGGATCATGTAACAGATAGCGTTCCCAACATATCAGACCCTATATTTGTATTTTATTTCAGAATGCAGATATTTTACATTATGTTTCGGGTCATGTAACAGATAGCGTTCCCATTCCACATCTGTTTGCCCATTATTCCCAGCAGAACAGACCCTTTGCATTTATCTCATTTGAGAATGCAGATTTTTGCATTACGTTTGGGACATGTAACAGATAGCGTTCCTCCAGCAGAACAGACCCTTTGCATTTATCTCATTTGAGAATGCAGATTTTTGCATTACGTTTGGGACATGTAACAGATAGCGTTCCTATTCAAGAGTTTGTTTAGCCATTTTTTCCAACAGAACAAACCCTTTGTTTGCATCTCTTTTGAGAATGCAGATTTTTGCATTCCGTTTCGGGACATGTACCAGATAGCGTTCCTATTATAGAGTTTGTTTGGCCATTTTTCCCAACAGAATAAACCCTCTATCTGCACCTCTTTCGAGAATGCAGATTTTGGGAATAAGTTTCGGGACAAGTAACACATAGTTTCCCATTCAAGGGTCTGTTTTGACGTTATTCCCATTTTCCAACATAACAGACACTCTATTTGCATCTCATTTGAGAAAACATATTTTTTACATTATGTTTCGGGTCATGTAACAGATAGCGTTCCCATTCCGGTGTCTTTTTAGCCATTATTCCCAACATGATAGACCTATATTTCCATCTCATTTGAGAATGCAGATTTTTACATTTGGTGTCACGAGATATAACAGATAGCGTTCCCATTTCAGCATTTGTTTAACAATTATTTACAACAGAATAGACAAATATTTGCATCCCATTTTTTACATTTTGTTCTGGGTCATGTAACAGATAGTGTTCCCAACATATCAGACCCTATATTTGTATTTTATTTCAGAATGCATATTTTTTACATTATGTTTCGGGTCATGTAACAGATAGAGTTCCCATTCCAGGTCTGTTTGCCCATTATTCCCAACAGAACATACCCTTTGCATTTATCTCATTTGAGAATGCAGATTTTTTCATTACGTTTTGGGACATATAACAGATAGCGTTCTCATTCAAGAGTTTGTTTAGCCATTTTTTCCAACAGAACAAACCCTTTGTTTGCATCTCTTTTGAGAATGCAGATTTTTGCATTCCGTTTCGGGACATGTACCAGATAGCGTTCCTATTATAGAGTTTGTTTGGCCATTTTTTCCAACAGAACAAACCCTCTATTTGCACCTCTTTCGAGAATGCAGATTTTGGGAATAAGTTTCGGGACAAGTGACACATAGTTTCCCATTCAAGAGTCTGTTTTGACGTTATTCCCTTTTTCTAACATAACAGACACTCTATTTGCATCTCATTTGAGAAATCAGATTTTTTACATTATGTTTCGGGTCATGTAACAGATAGCGTTCCCATTCCGGAGCCTTTTTAGCCATTATTCCCAACATAATAGACCTATATTTGCATCTCATTTGAGAATGCAGATTTTTACATTTGGTGTCACGAGATATAACAGATAGCGTTCCCATTTCAGCATTTGTTTAACCATTATTTCCAATAGAATAGACAAATATTTGCATCCCATTTTTTACATTTTGTTCTAGGTCATGTAACAGATAGCGTTCCCAACATATCACACCCTATATTTGTATTTTATTTCAGAATGCAGATTTTTTACATTATGTTTCGGGTCATGTAACAGATAGCGTTCCCATTCCAGGTATGTTTTCACATTATTTCCAGCAGAACAGACCCTTTGCATTTATCTCATTTGAGAATGCAGATTTTTGCATTACGTTTCGAGACATGTAACAGATAGCGTTCTCATTCAAGAGTTAGTTTAGCCATTTTTTTTCCAACAGAACAAACCCTCTGTTTGCGTCTCTTTTGAGAATGCAGATTTTTGCATTCCGTTTCGGGACATGTACCAGATAGCATTCCTATTATAGTTTGTTTGGCCATTTATACCAACAGAACAAACTCTCTATCTGCACCTCTTTTGAGAATGCAGATTTTGGGAATAAGTTTCGGGACAAGTAACATAGTTTTCCATTCAAGGGTCTGTTTTGACGTTATTCCCATTTTCCAACATAACAGACCCTCTATTTGCATCTCATTTGAGAATGCAGATTTTTTTCATTTTGTTTCGGGTCATGAAACAGATAGTGTTCCCATTCCAGATCTTTTTTAGCCATTATTCCCGACATAATAGACCTACATTTGCATCTCATTTGAGAATGCAGATTTTTACATTTGGTGTCACGAGATATAACAGATAGCGTTCCCATTTCAGCATCTGTTTAACCATTATTTCCAACAGAATAGACAAATATTTGCATCCCATTTTTTACATTTTGTTCCGGGTCATGTAACAGATAGTGTTCCCAACATATCACACCCTATATTTGTATTTTATTTCAGAATGCAGATTTTTTACATTAAGTTTCGGGTCATGTAACAGATAGCGTTCCCATTCCAGGTATGTTTGCCCATTATTCCCAGCAGGACAGACCCTTTGCATTTATCTCATTTGAGAATGCAGATTTTTGCATTACGTTTCGGGACATGTAACAGATAGCGTTCCCATTCAAGAGTTTGTTTAGCCATTTTTTCCAACAGAACAAACCCTTTGTTTGCATCTCTTTTGAGAATGCAGATTTTTGTATTCCGTTTCGGGACATGTACCAGATAGCGTTCGTATTATAGATTTGTTTGGCCATTTTTCCCAACAGAACAAACCTTCTATCTGCACCTCTTTCGAGAATGCAGATTTTGGGAATAAGTTTCGGGACAAGTAACACATAGTTTCCCATTCAAGGGTCTGTTTTGACGTTATTCCCATTTTCCAACATAACAGACCCTCTATTTACATCTCATTTGAGAAAGCAGATTTTTACATTATGTTTCGGGTCATGTAACAGATAGCGTTCCCATTCCAGGTCTGTTTGCCCATTATTCCTAGCAGAACAGACCCTTTGCATTTATCTCATTTGAGAATGCAGATTTTTGCATTAGGTTTCGGGACATGTACTAGATAGCATTCTCATTCCAGAGTTTGTTTAACCATTTTTCCCAACAGAATGTACCTTTTATTTGCATCTCATTTGAGAATGCAGAATTTTTTTCCTTTCTTACCGGGTCATGTAACAGATAGCGTTCTCATTCCAAAATATGTTTAGTTATTGTCCGTTATTCCCAACAGAAAAGACCCTCTGCATTTATCTCGTCATTTGAGATTCAGAGGATGCATCATGAGGGTCTATCGGATCCAAGATATTCTAGAATAAACCCATTGCAAACATCTACTAACAGATAACGTTCCCATCTTGTTCCCATTCATGCAAAAATTTTAAACCAACTTACATGGGTCGGAGTTCTACTCGTGTCAGATCCAAGACAAAGTTCAGAACAAACCTATATCAGACATCTTTCCCAGATAATATACAGATAATAATCTCATTCAGGTAAAAATTTAAACAAGGAAGAGATGAATCTTAAAGATAAGCTTTTCAAGAACTTACAGGTTCGCAACGCGATTTAGGGTTTCACCGGAGGCGTTCTTGGTTTCATGTTCTTCAATCTTTAACAGATCTCCGAAATCGATCTAGATCCCCTTTTGAAACTTTAATCGAAAATTAAATATCGGAACCGAGGGACCCCCAATAAGACCCAATAGAAGAGGAAGATTTGAATCTTCAGGACGATACACAGTTCCCATCGCTTTGGCCTTCTCTAAAACAACCCATAGATGTCGATTTGCGACATTCGACTGAATTCCAGAGTCGCGTCTCCATCTAGGGTTTCGCCGCATAGAGATGTAACGAAAACAAAATCGAAGCCAAATAGAAATTCTGTCGTTTATGAGAGCCGACCTATTGTATATATACACCTCTGAGGGAGAGGGCTGGCCGTTGGATCAGCCAATATGTTAGTTAGATGTTTAAGATTCAAAAACCACCTTAATCCGACGGTCACAATTTCAAGATGAGAAATCCATCTTGTTGTTTAACAAAAGAGCTTTGATAATTACAACAAAAGTTAAAATCGAACCCTAAACTTTTAAAACGATCCATACAGACCCTAAAAAAATTTCTATTTCTGGTTTCCGAAATTCCTCCTTTACAATTACATACATATCTAGCAGACGGTTGAAAGTTTAACACTCCTGGAAATGGTCCGAGATCTGTTTGGATGAAGGCCTAAAGCTCGGCCCATTCTTTGATGGGCTTTAACTTCCTCTATGTGGCATTACAATTTTTATATATAGAAATAAAAAGTTATATGGTCTTAAATTATTTCACTTAGAAAACTTATATTCATTCATTCATTGTTTATTGTATTTTCCATAATTTTTTAAGTCTTTTTTCTATTACTCAAATCATAACACAGTCTCGCCTTTCTTCTGTGTTATGATTTGACATATAAGATCATGAGAAGTCCTTTGGACCGTACAGGCCGAGGTTTGGATGGGGTGGTCCCGTGATGGGGTTGATGTTTCCGGGAAGAAGTCCTCAGCCATTTCCACCAGGTGGATTCGGTATGATGGGACTAGCCTCGGGACGTGGACCGTTGATGGGACTGCGGGGACCGAACCACACTCCTCGAGGTGGTTGGCCTGTGTATCTTCCGCCTCCACCGCTGAGTAAGAACGCACAGTCTGGTGGGAAAGACCAGAAAACAGCCGAGATGATGGGGGAAACAAAGGGTGAGTCTGAGATGAGAAAGGAGGAGGAGAGTGGAAGCGAAGACGAAGCGCCGAGACGGTCAAGGCATGGAGAAGGAAACAAGAGGCGGTGAAAATAAAAGGCAAAGCCTTTTGTTTTTTTTATGTGTACTTAACCACGGAGAGAGTTTTGTAGTAAGTAACGATTTGATTCTTCAGAACCGGACCAAATCGAACCGAAAAATGATATTTTTCTAGACCCGAAACCGTTTTTAATTCCCGAACGGTATCATTTTTAGAGAACCGAACTGAACCAAACTTTAAAAATTTCAAAAACCGAATATTTTTAAAAGAAATCTATCCTTTTTTAATAAAACCTGGAACCGAACCGAAGCGAACCGAATACAATATAAGAACCGATTGGTACCGATTTTTATAAAACCGAAAGAACCGAATCGATCTATTCCCATCCCGAACTCAAACCGTTTCGCGAAACGTCCACCCCTAATACAAAGAAGTCGTTTGCATTATTTTTTTCCTTTTAAAATAAAAATACATTTCTTGATATTTGGATTCAAGATACCGAAACTATGTTGTATAGATATAAATTATATAAATATAATACAATTTACAATTTCTTAAATAAATATATTAATGTACTCCCAATTCTCTAAAAATATATATTAAGTTTCTAAATATTTCAAATTTAACGCAATCCTGCCACATCATATTCTCACACTATTAAAAAAACAAAACCGAGTTTATATAGGCAAATATACATACATATATAATAGTAATAATAATTTTTATGGAATTTTATCTTGTTATTATAATTATTATTATCATTTCAAGCTGAAGCTTTGGTTTGCCTTGTAGCTGGTCCCATCAAGCCGGTTCCCTACTAACTAACCCGAGTGTTATTTGGTCTAAACAAATTTCAACTAAACCGAGCCGACCCAGAACCAAACAAAACTGTTCAGACATAAGAAACAAAACACACAGCAACAAAGAACTGAAATATACAAAGGGCTTTTAGCCTTTCTAAATTTGGTCTCTGATGTTATATAATCATGAAATAAAACCAACAAAACAAAATCGCATTCTTTTGTAGGAGAAAAAGACTGTTAGAACTTAGAATAATAATTATAATAATAATAAATCAGTTTTTGAGGGTGTAAGAAATAGGGTTCCTCACCAATCTATACCCAATTGCTTGGAGAGGAACATTGTATCAATGTATGTGATTACTGAGGTTGTTGCCGTCACATAGCTCTGCATTTGTATCTTGGCTGATGTCTCTGAAAAAAATATTTATAGAAGATACACCAATAATTTCATAAGTGAGTTTCTGCAGTTTAAATATATCGAAGACGAGACTACTATCAGAGAAGAGGCTAATGAAATGTAACCAAGAATCATAGAGCTTCTAATCGAGCTGGTTCGGGAAATACCCAGAAAGGATAATGGCAAGAAAGCGATGAAATACTGAGTATAACACATTCAAACTATGCATAAGACTTCGCCTTGGACTGAAGTCAATCAAGAACAGACTATATTCTAGGTCTCAGTTCAGGGGGAGTGATAAAGGTCAACTAGGGTTATCACGATCTATCTCACCATGAAAGCTGATTTTGAATTAGATAACTACAAATCCTTGGAATGGATCTGATGGCTGATGAAAAGAATATGCGCTGTATTACCAGAGTATCGATGAGTTGAGTTCATCCACTCACCATCCTCATTGAGCTTCTTCAGAAGCTGAGCCCTCGTGGGAAGAGCATACATCCCTGCAGCAACAGCTTTCCGTATAGCCCACCCATGGTGGGGAGCAAACACTTGCGCATAAGCCTTTGAAGCTGCATCTCTTAAAGAGTTATCTCTGCAGTAGACATGGGGAAGTGGTTAATCTTCTGATTTCCATTAGTAAAAAAACACTTGTTCAAGAATGTACAAAGGGTGCAGTTGCCAAGTTTCGATTAAATATTAACAAAAGAGAATGTTGACCGAATAAAGAACAGCCAGAAGAAGAATACCCACTCGGTAGCTATAATCTGCTCAAAGAGAACCTTGACCATATCGATCCCACGCTTTACCCTCAAAAGATTCCTCGTATGACTACCAGCTTTCCTGACAGTGTTTGTCTCGATGTCCTTGTCGACCATTACTTGTAATGTTGATATTGACTTTGATGTCTCCACAAGATCATCAACCTGCAGCCATTAATCAACCAATCCATCCTAAAAGTCAATGAACCCATAGAACTTGTAATTAGTTTTCACGATTTCATTTTAAGAGGTAAAAAGTTCAAAGATGACCCTTTAATCCCCAGGTCCCAAAACCGATGAACCTAAGCAAGCTCAACCACAGATTCTAAATGGTTCAAGCCTACAAAAGATGGGTTCCCAAATGGTTTTGCGTTTTTACAAGATAAAACTTGGGAAGTGACTGAGGAAAAGCAATTAGTGGGAATTCAAGCTCCAGCCTTTCGAACTCCAATGATTAAGCTGCGATGAACTGCACTTCCCGCTAGTTTCAGATCAATGAATACAATTAGGTGTCATAGAAAGTCTGTGACTTTGGATTTGGCAAGGCACCCAAGAAATTTTCTCAGAGGCCAAACATCCCCTTTCTCAATAATGTCTGATTCTCTTTCAGCACCAATCCGAGAAGACCCGAGATTCAAAATAGTAAACAAAATCAATTCCCAAATGCCTAAATTTGTCATACTTGATCAGCTAAGGATAGTGAAGGCGCACATGAAGAACTTTCTCGGGAGCTAAATCAAACATACCTTGGCGACGTAATCCATCTCGGCAAATTTGAAGGCGATGCCGAGACAACCAAATAGAGGCGAGACGAGGGAGCAAGCGTGGGAGAATTGTGCCAATTGCACGTCTGGGCTCGGCGAATTCACGGAGGAGGCCAGTTCTTTGAACGCATCTGAGATCTTCCTCAGCGGCTTCTCCGTCTCCGAATCCGCCATCGCCAATCTCTCTACAAATCGATTCTTCAATCGTTTCAACTGTTGATCAAATTTTGCTGCGAAATTATTCCAAGGAGAGGAAAGAAGCTGATCGAATGTTGTCGCCGTGTTTGGCTATCGAGTTAACTTTATCCTTCCCCTCGATAGTGCTATCCCTGTTAGTGTATGGACTATGGAGTTAAAAAAAAAAAATCAGATGTAGTATAACATACTAACAAAATTCCAAATAGCATCTGTTGTATATTTTGCAACAAAAATTGATAATTGATTTCCAAAACTTAGAGACTTGGACCGGCACTAGATTTATACTAATGGGTGTAAATGAAAACATATATATATACATATATATTCTCTTTTTTTTTTGGAATGTTTCCCTTTTTCTCACGTTTTTCAAATTCATAATTTTTTTTATTTTTACTTTGTTGTCAGTAACGATATTATTAATATTTCTAATTAACAAAGAAATTACATTCGTCGCTCTCGGTCTAATTAATAATTATAATAATAGAATGAACTTGGAATACTGTTTTAGAATTTAAAAAAAAATAATATAAATTGAATGAGAACAGAGGAGAATCAAGAAGAGAAAAAGCATGATCTCCGAATTCCTTCTCCTGCAAGTTTCTCATTACCACATTAATACTCTGCTTTTGAACATGTTCACGCTTAATATCCATTCTTTCTTGTCTGATTTTGGTCGGCTAATAATTATTAAACTATTATATTTAAATATTTATTAAAACCGAAAAAATGTGAATTCGTAAAAATATATATATATATATATATATTAAATATAAACGACGAACTGGTGTATAAGTGTTTAGTTAACTAAATAATGAGAATCCCACATTATGAGTATATAATTTGTACCAAAATTTAAATTAATTTTGGTTATCTGATTATATGAATTATCTATCTTTCGTTGTTATCGATTATGATGATGAATTCCATTTTTTTTAATATATTTTGTATATGTAACTCAATTAAGGTTATTTTAGAAGTGCAAATTTAAAAACTTTTATCATAAATTTACAAGTATTGAATATAGGAAGGAGAAAAAATGGTATGACCTATTTTTATACAATTAGCTCTGGATTTTTCCTCTGGCCCTCCCTCCTTTCTGCTATTTTAAATCTTTGTTTGCACCTTTTTTAAATATTTATTTTGAAAATAAATAAATAAAAACTGAAAAATGAACAAATGTCTCTGTCTTGTACCAGGTTCCATGTCAGTGCCACATTTGTTTCCCTGTTTTTCATTTTTTTTCTTCTTCTTATACATAAAATATTCAAACTTTTGCTTTCAGGATAAACCCTTTGATCTCCTCTCTCTCTCTCTCTCTCTCTCTCTCTCTCTCTCTCCATCTTTTTCTCTTGCTGCTTCTCACCTTTGGACCGAAGCTTCGAACTTTGTCTACTACACAGAAACTCGCTGTTTCTGTCTGAGGATTTTGCAGATCAAAATGTAGGGTTTGTTCATTTTCCTCTGAGGAAAAGATCACTGAAATCTCTCACAAGCTTCACTTGGTATGTTCTCTATAGTCTAATGTCGTTTACGATTTTGGGAGTGAACCCAGTAAGAGAAACACGTTGAGAGTTCAAGAACATGTAGATTTATTCGATGGGTGTTCCTCTAATTAAGTGAAAATTTTAAAGAATTCGCCAAAGGAGGGAGCTTTCTCTGAGAAAAATCTCTGCTACCCCATTGAAGAATCTTCAAAGCTTGGAGCTTTTCTTAAATGCGTGGTTCTTTTTGGCCTTAAGTTGATACATCTTCCGATTTCGCAGTAATATTATCTCGGATTAGCGGAAAAAAGGAAACACCTTTGTGAGGAAATTGTGGTTGTTGAAGAAATGGGTTGCGCTGCTTCAAGCATTGATAAGGAAGAGAAGGTTTTGGTATGTAAGGAGAGAAAGAGGCTGATGAAACAGTTATTAGGGTTCCGGGAAGAATTCGCAGATGCCCAATTGGCTTATCTGAGAGCATTGAGGAACACTGGTGTTACTCTCAGGCAATTCACAGAGTCGGAGTCATTAGAGCTTGAATCCACTAGCCATGGATTAGGTTTAGGTTTAGGTTTACCCTTTTCGCCTCCTCCCACTTTGCCTCCTTCCCCTCCACCTCCCCCTCCATTCAGTCCAGATTTAAGGAAACCCACCAAGATTTGTCAGAAGAATGAGGAGGAAGAGTGTATGGAGACTGATGAGAATGAGGATGACAGTGTCGCCATTCTACCGCCTCCAATCCCGAGCTCTTCCTGGAACTTCTGGGATCCATTTGAATCATTAGGACCTCCAAGTGATAACAGTGTGGTTGATCACATTGGGCCAAAGTGTAGAGAAATGGTTGAGCTAGATGATGAGGAAGATTGGGCGGAGACCAAGACGGAGTTCGAGGAAGATGATGATTATGATGATGAGAGACAAGAAGCTTCCCCTGATCTAAGAGTTCAACAAACAGAAGCCATTGGTATGGAAGAAAATTCCTCAATGACGAGCTTGTATGGTCTAGATTCAGACAAAATGACTGTAGTAACTGACCGTAGGATAAGAATGACTCTGGAAGGAATCATCAGAGAGTTGGATGATTATTTCCTGAAAGCTTCAGGTTGTGAGAAGGAGATAGCTGTGATTATCGATATCAGCAGCACGGACATTGCCGGTTCCCCCAGGTTTAAGGAAACAAAAAGTAGGTCAAGTTGCTCTCTCCTGATCTCTTTCTTTTCAAGATTTGCAAATTGATTGAAACTGGCCATGGTTCTTGTGCTTCCTGTCAAATTGCATATACTTTTTCAAGCTTTTTTTTTGCTGTTGGGCCAGCCATTGTTACCGATTTGTATGAACAATTTGTAAAATTTCTTGCACAAGTTGTAAACTTTACATGTTTCACAGGAAAGAGGAGCAACTCCGCTAAGGTATTCAGTGCATTGTCATGGAGCTGGTCCTCTAAGCCGCTTCATGTGTCCATGGATGCTATGGAGAGCAGCCCTGTTGAACCCTGCAGACCTGGAGCTCACTGCAACACACTTGAAAAGTTATGCTTAACGGAGAAAAAACTTTACGAGAATGTGAGGGTGAGTACTGTAAATACTTATGGAGGCTTGTCTCTTGTAACTTGTAACAAGGTCTTGGGGTTTATGCTGATTCGTATGTGAGTGTGATGTTTTCTTTCCTGTTCTCTGCTTCAGAACAAAGAAATTGCTAAAGCGGAGCACGAGAGGAAATCTGCGTTACTGAAAAAGCAGGATGAGGAAAACTACGATCACAGCAAGATGGAGAAAACACGTTTTTCTCTCGAGAGTTTGGAAGAGGACATAAAGCGTCTAGAAGATTCCATTAGTCTGACAAGTTTGTGTTTGCAGAAACTAATCGATGAAGAACTGCATCCTCAGCTGATTGCTTTAACTTCTGGGTAAGCTCTTCTATGAGCTTACGTGGATTTCGTAGAAGAAAACATCTATTTCTTTCTCGAGATTCATTCGGGTTTGTCATATGCAGATTGGGACATATGTGGAAAACGATGCACAAGTGTCATCAAGTCCAAACCCATATATCTCAGCTGCTAAACCATCTCTCAGATTACCCGAGTATAGATCTGAGTTCAGAATACAAACGTCAAGCAGCTACTCAGCTTGAAAACGAGGTCACTTGCTGGTACAACAGCTTCTGCAAACTCGTAAATTCTCAGCGGGAGTACGTAAAAACACTCTGTAAGTGGATTCAACATACTGAAAGCCCGTCTAGTTCTTCAGCCGCTGCTCGTAAGCTCTGTATAGAATGGCAGATTCTGATTGAGAACCTTCCTGATAAGGTCCACTTCTATGTACCCTTTTGTCTATATATAGTTTTCCGGTTCTCGAGAGACATAACTGAGTCATACTCATAGATGTGACTGTTTTAAACGGCAGGTAGCTTCAGAGGCCGTTAAAAGCTTTATGGTATCGATCCAATCCATAATTCATCAACAAGCAGAGGAATACAACCTGAAGAAGAAATGCGGGAAACTTGAGAAGAGGCTGGAGAAAGAGATGAACTTGCTAGTTGAGATGGAAAGAAAGCTTGAAGGGAATTCAGCAATGGAAGAGGCAGATGCATCAGACTCGAGGAATTCGAGCTCTAAGCATCCGTTATCGGTCAAACGGGTCAAGATCGAGGCTTTGAAGAAACGAATGGAAACAGAGAAAGGAAAGTACATGAGCTCGGTCGAGGTAAGCAATAGAATGACAATGGAGAATCTGAAATCATGCCTTCCTAGTGTTTTTCAGGCATTAACGGCTTTCTCGAGTGCCATTTCTCGGGGTTTTGAGGGTGAATCTCAACCTGAGGGATCATCTCTTTTGCCCGAGGCTTGAGAAAAACGGCGTCGGTTTTTGCTTCTTGATGTTGTTTACACTCTGGTAAAGAAGATTATGAAGCTTGTATGTAACTCTGAACTGTTTAAAGCCATTTCTCAGTGTTTGAGATCAACCCTTTTAATGTAGAAGGTGCTGTTTTCCTGATCATTATGCAAAGGGAATCTTCAAGAATCTCTTCTATGAAAAACAGAATCAAGATTCTATTTTGTTGGAATCTTGAAGAACATGTGAATCTGCAGATGGAGTTGTAGGGAGAGGATACATGTTTTTTATGACATAAATATCTAGATTTGTTGTATAATATAATTTGTTTGTTGTTTTATGACATAAATATAGCTTTCTAATTCGATAATAATATTTAGGGAAAAATTCAAAAAAACATCGTGATCAATTAAAATTGCACTTTCAAACATAATAAAAAAATGAAATCATCCATACTTCCCAATTTTTTTATTATTTTATCATTTGTAATAGATTGAATATTTATTTGATTCAAGTCAGTATTTTGTCATAATTTCAAATGTCGAGTATTTATCGAAAAGTTCGACGATTTTATTTTTCTTTAGATTTAAATTTTTTATTTTAATTATGATTAGTGATTTTTTTTTGAATTTTTCCTAATGTTTATATATACTGTACATTATAAATCTAAAAAAAATTAACATGAAAGATAAATTACATTCCATAGAGTTTTTATAAAAGAACATTATAATGAATAATTACAGAGCACCGATGTTTTTAAGACCGAGAACGACCCCGACCCCGATGATGTGTCCGACGGTCCCACATGCCAACGTGTCAGCGAGTGTGAACCCGGCCGGGTCACCCGTTTGAAGGCCCGAGTCACGTCCCTCGAGTTTTAGTCCAGCTGTCGCTTTCCTATTGGCAGACGGAGCAAGCCCGAATCTCCCGGCGAACAGCATCAGGCTCGTCGACGTCACCATTATCTTTTTTTTTTTACATTAAATAAATTATAATTTAAAACGTTAGCATTCTTAATTAATTTGATTAATAAATAAGACAATTTGTTTTTTTGTTTACCAAATTTGTGGGTGAACCAATGAAGTCACATCTTGCGCCCAAAGCGCCGTTTCCCTTGCGTCCCATTGGTTGAACTGTTACCTAAAAATACATTCTTAAATATAAAAACAAATATTTTCTTTTGAATTTCTACAAAATCAGATTTACAATATAATTTTATAGACCCTTACACGGAAAATTGAATTTGTATCATAAATGGGAAAATTGGCAGAAAAATGCTACAAGATCTTAAAATTGAATATATCACATACTAATGTAAAAAAGTGAATTAAATACAGAAAATAAATTACTAACCAGGCCTTGGACCGGACATGCAGAGATCCTGTTTGGTCTCAGACCATTGAACTGAGGCAGTGACAGTGTTGTCATCACCGTGCTTGCCATTTCTCCGATTGCTTTTTTTTATTAAATTTATGTTTTTTTTTTGTTATTGATTCGGGAAGGTCTTAAAATTAAGAAGCAATGGAATTTGAGAAACACAGGGCAGTCACACGATGGTAGTCTATCGTCGGTATCCGCTGACGTGTCAGGTGCTTATTCGCTGTTTGGGTTGTCTTTAATCTGGATAAGGTTTTCAGGAGATTTTTCTCTTTGGGCTTTTGGGCTTTTTATAATGGGCCCAAATTGTTCATTTCTTTTATGTATTTGGACATTTCGTAATGGGCCTAAACTGGGCCTTTGTATGTGAAAGTGTTCCTTCTGCTCGTGTCCATGTATTTGCTCTTCCTAGCTCCTCCCAAAGGCCCAATTAAAGTCCAAGTCAATAGGATTATGATGCGATTTAAACAAAATATTAAAATTAATATTAGCTTTCAACGCATTAATATTACTTGATTTTATTTGTTAGCAACAAGAATATTTATATATAAAGATAATTTTGGTATACATTATTTTTTGGGATGATTTGTATCTATGTATGGTTTTCTTGCCATATATTTATACAGAATATTTTGTGTTCTTAAGAAATACGATAAAGTTGTTGACTAACAGTTCCATTTTTCTAACGGAGTTTGCTATGTTTAACTTTATAATTTATGATATTGTGTAACGTTTTCCGGATTAAAATTTTTATTATTTTAAACAACAACTACACTAATACATGATTTAAATACAAAATTTTAAATTTCAGGTTCAGCTGCTATAAGCTCTAAATGATATCAATTCCAGTTATATAACTATATCAATTATAATTGAATTTATTTATTAATTATTTATATATCTGTTACTGCAGTCCGACAGAATCTATCAGTTGGATGCGAAAACAACTTAAAGTTTGTTTATAATGATAACGTGAGTTAATTAAATTATTGTAGGAGACATGGGAACAGCGTTAACAGTTTCCGGAATCAATAACTTTTAAATTAATTATTGTAATAATTATTTTAAAATTCGTAAGCAGCACTTCGACATTAAAAATAAAGACAGATGAAAAGCTCGATCATATAAAATTTTAAACAAATATATTATGTATATTATATTAAAATTCCTTATTTACTCTAATATATTATGTATATTATATTAAATTTTAAACAGATGAAAAGCTCGATCATATAAAATTCCTTATTTCGGAGTATTATATAAAATTTTCAATCAATTTTAGATTTTTATGTTAAATTTTTAAAAAATATATTATGTATATTATATTATATTTACTCTACGGTTTCCTAAATATCTATATTACGTTTATAATGCGAGTGAAATAAATAGATTTTATATTTACTCTACACACTCAACCGTACACTATATATATAGACCTTTTTTATATTTTATGGGAATCCGAGTAAAATTCCTGATAAAGTGAAATGTCGGCATTATTAATCTATAATAATAATTGAGTAGTGCTAATTATTGCACTTACATATTCCACTAATATATATATATATATATATATATATATATAATTGTTGATTGGTAAGTAAGCTAAACTTTTAACAAAACAAAAAAAAAAGTAAGCTAAATGGTTTGTTTTTAAACTGATACGGCTTCCATTTTAATAAATTTATTACGAAAATGCCATTGAAATTCGGTCTGTTTTTTTTACACGTTTTTGTCCGTTGGTCGGTCGGCTTCCTACACCAGCGGGAATATTGGCAGCCTGTTTGGCCTCTTGGTATGTTTTTCTTTTTTACTTGAGTTAAATTTTTTTTTGGTATAATACTTAAATTAATTAATCTACTAATCAGTACGATTTTAATATTTTTTTGTTAACTACAATTTTAATATTAATGCAATACCACATGAAAAATACTAATATGATACCAATAATAAAACCTACGAAAATTTTCTTTTGACTTCCCTACGGAATATTTTAACGACATGCAAGACGCACGAAAACCTTTACAATATATATAAATATATATATATAAACATTGAAAGAAAACGAAACCACATAAAATTTATTTTTCAGTAATGTAAAAATGATCGTTAAATTTAATCACGAGCAAGAACTTTCTAAAATATCACCGACATGAATGGCAAGCTAGCGCAGTTATTTTCAATTTGTGATTTCTAAAACTATAATAAGGAGAATATAATATTTGGACGACAATGAGTCTACGTCAAACAGAAACCCAACTCTCGAATTGAAAGAAAACGAATATCCACATATATATAACAATATGATGTACATGCCATGTGACCATTTGGTCAAATAATGGACCTCCCCTAATAGAATTATTTGGTTAGTATTGCTCTTTTGTTGATATCAACATGTTGCATGATGGGCAAGTTTCAACTATAATTCTCACTTGCATCACTTAAATACATAATAATATATATGCATGCATACATCTATATATGTACGTATGTTTGTATGTAATTATTAATCGTTTCTTTTTCAGTAATGTGGCGACAAGGTTTATAGTTTCCCTTTGCGTCACTTATTAAATACATATATAATAACATGCATGCATGCATGTATGTATGTATGTATGTATGTATGTATGTATGTATGTATGTATGTATGTATGTATGTATGTATGTATGTATGTATGTATGTATGTATGTATGTATGTATGTATGTATGTATGTATGTATGTATGTATGTATGTATGTATGTATGTATGTATGTATGTATGTATGTATGTATGTATGTATGTATGTATGTGTCATTTTTTTTTCAGTTGTGGCGACAATAGGTTCATATTCTCAAAGTTTTTGGACATACCCACAAGCAGTCTCACTTGTCATGTGTTTTGTTTATATATGTATGTATATTAACAAACATGAATGTGTGTATGTGTGTGTATCTGTTCATGCAATAGTTTGGCTTATCACACTTGACGGTCTGACCATGCAATATAATATATGTATATATATATATGGTACACTTTCTGTTACACTTTGGCATACAACTTTACTTCATGGGACCTTGCTTCTAATTAATCCCCAACAAATTTACAACTTTTAAAATCAGAAATAAAAAACACAAGTTTAATTATAACATGTCAAATTTTAATCTAAAATAATCTTGTGCAAGATTTTACAATTATTGGAGATTTTCATGTATCACATGGAATATAGTTAAAACTCAAAACTCAAAATCGAAAATCCAAAATTCATAACTAAACTACAGTTTCATCCAATTACTAATATTTGGTTTATACATCTGGGCATATTATAAAATTTGCTTTCACACCTAATTATTAATTAGTTGGTTTTTTAGGTTAATTAAATGTAAAGTTATTGATTACTAATCTACATATCTATCATGAAAACTCTAAAGTTTATATTAAATATTTTGTGAAAATATCATTTCACTAAATATAACTTATTAGAAAAAAAAAAGGAAATGTTATGTAACATTTCATGTTGTAGGACCACAACAATGCCCAAATGTCGCCGCCAGTCTCCCTCACATCCTATGCTTTTGTTTTCTTTTTTGTACTGTTTTCAATATCTCTCTGCTGCACGTTAGTGTTAATATTCCCACTAATTGGACCGTATTTCATTTTTTTTGTCAAATGATATTTAAATAAAATAGTATATAAATAAATATTTTTCGGCCTATTTAATTACTTGTATTTTTCTTTTTTATTTTGTGATTTGAACCTACTCCCATTATCAGTATACCAATAAATACTGTTTAATTATACAATATCTCATATGTGTATACCTACCTACGTAGAGACATATGCAATGTTTTGAATTACGCTGAAAAGCGTTTAACAAATTTTCATATATTAATGTTATTTTTAGGGAATCTTTCACTTTTAATATATATATCCCAAATAAAATAAAAACTATCAAATCTTCGGTTGATGAAATGATAATTTTTTCAAAAAAATATCATATTTGATTTTTTAGATACTTCTGATTTATTTTACCGTTCATATTAAATTATGATTCAAACAATTTCTTTGACAATTCAATTTATTTGGATGTGTGTGTGTGTATATATATATATATATATTGAAAGATTATTATCCTTTAATTTCAAGAAAACTTCATAATCTATATATAGGTGATGCTAATACAAAGTCAGAAGCCTCGAGTGCAGTCACTGTAAATTATAATTGAAAATTGAGAGAACCGAACCACGAAAACAAAAGGGCACGGTGTTTGGAGTGCCTCTGACTCTCTCCAAGGGTTTAAAAACCTGGCTTTCGCATTTACTACTTTGCCCCTCTATGGCCGCACATTTCAAGATTCTATTCAATTTATCAAAAACATACAGTAAAGATTCTTGAATTAAAATAAAACTCAGGTGTCATTGTATTCTTTAGAAATTTTGTATAAAACTCTCTCTCTCTCTCTCTCATCATTTTTTTTATAATCCAGAAATTAACCAAATTTTTTATCCAACTATAATTTTAGAGGGTTAGGGAAGTACAAGTGAATACCCTTTTCATGCTTGGATTTGAATCATAATAAAAATTAGGGTTGGCCATTTCGAATTTTGGTTCGAGTTCGGTTATTTCGGTTATAGAAAAACTATAATCATTCGATTTTTATATAAACTTCGATTCGGTTTCGATAAAAAATTCATTTTTTCAAAGAAATTATCAGCTTTTTCAGTTATTTTTTATTCAGTTTCGGTTTCGGTTATTTTGGGTTTAAAAAAATCATAACATTTCGGTTTTGATATCGGTTTCGATTCGGATACGGTTATATCTTATTCGATTCGGTTCGGTAAAATTATTCGATTAATAACCGAAATGGTCACCCCTAATAAAAACATAATTTTTATTTTCTTTTACCATTAAACCATCCAAATTTTTTTTGGTTTATAAACCATCCAAATTTGGGTACTCTCATCTTTGTTTTAAGCATTGGAAATGTCTCTACAAGCCTAACATTCGTGTGGAGTGTTAATTTGGATATATGGGTCTATGTTCTCTTTAATCTTTTCACCAAAAAAAAAAAGAGTTCTCATTAATCTTGAAATATATTTAGATATTCTCGTGCGCCTAACGATGTTTTTAAAAACTCTAGATAATAATATTCA